TCATTATCTATAGTTATTGCATAATTTAATGTTATTAATTAATACTGTATTATTACTTATTTTGGTATAGAAATCCCGGATCTTACAAATCGAGCTCAATGTGAAATGCTGAAGAACTGGAATGGTGATTTGAAACTTTTACCTAATTTTAAGTTTCGAAGATTTGGGAAAAAAGACTTAAAAAGATGATTGTGAAAAATATATAAATTTAGAGATAGAGATAGAGATAGTCGTCCTAAAAAGATATTGGATGAAATATATGGAGAAGAATAGAATTACTATCTACTTCTTTTATTTCAAATATAAATTTGTTAAAAAAAATAAAGATATCAAAAGCAATTCTGTTATTAAATATAAAAAATAAAGAATAAAAGCCTGAAAAGTGTCTGAAAATAAATATTTAGTGGAAATTAGTGAAATTTATTGTAAAATAAATTATATTTTATTAATTTTTATATCTTTTACTATGTATTATTACGATTAAATGTAAAAGAAAATAAAATTAATAATATTATGTGATAGGTATTACAATTAAATAACTTTAGGACTGATTCTAATCAATGGATCGTAATATTTTTGTATTTTATTGGCCTTATTTAAAAATAAGCTTTCATATGAATTAAATTTTATTTTCTGTAAATTTATCTTTCAGTAAATTTTGTTTTTTTTTTAAACATTCTATGTTTTTAAATGCATAATTACTGAAGTTTTTCTTATTTTAGAAAAACAACAATTATTACAAACAAAAATTATGCATAGAAATTAATTTAGAAGTTACTTCATAGATATGCTTGTAATGTTTATAGAGTGTGGAAAGAGATATTGCTTCCTGATATTCTTCCTAATTTCAAAATTAGACACGATCTCTTAGTACACATAACTCTTTTATAGAATTATTATTTTTATCCCTTTTTCTGTCTATTTTAGTCTTACCGGAAACATAGATGAAAGTAGAAGAATTCATGAACGTACACTCATGAAGTACCATCACGCGATGGTATGCTGGATAAACTCAGCATAAACCCAGCTGAGCGTATAAAGCAGTTGATAATTACTGCGTATACTTCTATGAACGCGCGGAGAATACGAAATAGTAGCGAGAAATGATCAATGACATCTACGAAATATTTCATTATTATTTTTCCGAATACTCCGATCGATAAATCGCAGGAATGCAGTTTGAAGCAAGGATTTCCTGTGCGTTATGCAGCCGCAGTTGCAGCCGCAAAGAATTTCTCTGCACGGCTGCAGATCATTCTGGCGGAAAGAGAGAAGGGCGACGATCACGTGAGTAAGAGTGAAAGTTTAGCGAGGCATGTCTCGTAAATTATTATCGTATGATCCGTCTCCTTCATATAATAAAGGATGATTTTTAATAAAGGATGAGTTTTCAGTTAATATGAGCTCAAGGAGAGATTGTATTTTATTCGTTTCGCTACAATCGACCGTGCCGGTCTCGTCGTGCAAACAATTACATAAACTTGACAAACTTCGCAAAAACTTTCTCACTTCTGTTATGTGCTGGCAACAGTTCCCGACCACATCTATTATTTCAATATTAGAAGGTATCCCGGTATTAAAACACTATGATGGTCACGTGGAATATGAATTAGAATTGCTTAGGTAATCCCCATACTGCGCAATCTCATCGTACCTTCTAATGACGCTTGACCGCAAGGTTAATAACTGGAGAACACGTAAATCTATCTTCGTTTCCCTAAGATCGGCCTAACTGTACGTGGAACAGTAATCAAGAGAGAAAAGAGAGAAGGGGCTTCAAGAAACTCTTGTTTTATTCATGAATTTAAAATCTTGGACTACATGAGCCTAACTTTTATTAACTTCAAATAATTCTAGGAATGTTCGACCAAAGTGCCGCCTCTTTGAAATTTGTTAGCTCAATTTTTGGCCATCCCCGCTTGCAAATCTGCAACCTGATCTTCGCTTGAAGGGTAGGCTTACGAACGAACATCTGCTCGAGGCTAACAGTATATACATAACCGTATTGAGATTATGCAAGGCTAACCGATAGTCGGTGGAAATGGCAGATGCTTTACGCCAGTAAACGTAATATTAGTGGACGTTACGGCGATCGATGGTGCACGGCGAGACCTAACGGTGGAACCACCATAACGCCCCGTAATGATGATTCGATTTTCTTTGGCATCCTTGGAACTTGATGCCATTTGGAGCACCGGTGCGCCATGGTATTCGATAATTGACGATGCATCCTGAATGAAGACGATGTCTCATTGAATGATAAAATTTTACATGCAGGGCGCTTTTTGTTTAAGTACATATCTTCCAAGCTATGGGTTCTTCAATTTTTAAGTTAATATTTCTTTAAAAATTACGGACAAGATCACAACTTATTGTATAATTCTCCAATTTAAAATATTAAAATTATATAATATTTATATAATTTTATAATTATATAAAATTATTTTATAATTATATAAAATTATATAATATTTATATAATATTAAATATTTTTGTAAGCCTCGAAGTAGGCTATTTTATCAAAGTAGAATGTACTTAACTAAAACTTAAAATTAACTAAAGAATGTGATTTTATTATTTCTTTTTTGCTTTTGCTTCAGCTTTCAAAAATCTTTTGTTTTCCATCCCTTATGATAATTATCATAATTTTAAATTACTTTAACATTTCGAAGATAAAGAAATAGTAGTAGACGCAAAGTTAACCGTTTTATAAATCAAAGGAAGTGTGTCTAGTGAGGAATAAAGAGATCCGTTTATATAAAATGTAAGTGTAAAAATATGCTAAATCGCTGATGTATACGATTAAGATATATAAAATGGCATAGCTAAACAACTTTTAACTGGCAGTAAATATCGACGGATCAACGATAACTTTCTCGATGTTCGCGAGAATTGGAAATTCTCCGCGGCTTGTACAATATTCAGGTAACATTCATTTCCTGCGATTTACGAACTGTGTACGTATGGACGGAACTTATAATTCGGCATCCGAACAGAAACAATCGGTTACGTTTCTGACGTTTCGATCTGTACGTTTAACGAACCGTGTTTCTTCCCCATGTCGTAAGGAATTATTCCTCCCTGATTCCGCGATCACATAATTGTCCCGATTGGATTGTTCCGTGTTTGACACGAGGACACGGTGTGCGACTTTATTAGCGCTGCAATATCCTGTCGCCGATGGTGTGCGGCGTAATAAAAGCTTCTTCTTTTCCCGACGAGAAAACGGGAAGAGGAAAACGGCCTGCGTGCCGCGTTCGGAATTGACGGATCGGTTATTAATGACTTTAATGGCGCGCGTGGTACTTTATAGGAAATGTCACGGTAAGCTTGTATACGTCACGGCCACACAATCACGTTGAATTCACAGCGAAGCAATCATTCTGTTTCTTTGCAAAATTACGTATAACGAATCGCGAATTACTTTATTGTTTATATATCACCACGGTAGCGCGAGAGAAGGTTTCTTTAACCATTAAGTAGCTCATTATCGATAATTTCTGGTTTTTTGTAATTCACAGCGTGATAATTTCTCTTCGCAATATATATGGTTGATTTCTAAATCGAACGCAGTTCTTTATCAAAAGAGAAACCGTATTAATCAAATCATTCAATCGAAACAAAAATATAAGAGATTTTTAAAGCAACAAAGGCAAGAGTAAATCTGTTTCTGTAAAGATAACTTCTTTTTCTTCACGTTTTCATAACATTTATGAAATTTGCATAAATAAAAATAGAAAATGATAGAGAAGAAGAAGATAGAAAGAGGAAGCGACTCCAGGAAGAAATTATTCCTCGCTTATATTTCCCTTCTCATCATCCTTCTAATTTTTTTTTTCTATTATTGATCACGTCACCGTATGTGACTAGAGAGAAACCGGACATCGCTTAATTATTCAGTTTCTCGATTCGCACAGACGGTTATTTGCAGGAAAGATTTTTCAGAGACGCAAACAGAAAGGGGAGAGGAGGAAGGGATACAGCAAACAATAATTTCTCCTGAAGAATCTCGATGGTATGGAATTCGAAAATCACTTGTTAAGTCAGTCGGCCAGCATCGACACGAATACTTTGGGAGACGGGGGGCCGTTCTCAACTCGCGCGCGCGCGCGCGCGCGCGCGCGTGTGTGTGTGTGTGTGTGTGTGTGTGTGTGTGTATGTGGTGAGAGAGGGAGAGAGAAGAGTATATACGTCCTCCGCAATCGCGCGGCATCCCTCACTGAGCTGAGGCAAATGTAGGTCCTCAGGTCGACACCTATAATGCAAACCTCCTACTTCGCTGCTGCCTCATACAGACACTCTTCGAGAACAGTACTTCTCCCTCTCCTTTTAACCCCACCAACCTCCGGAGAGCACGATAACAGGTGTCCCGCATACCGTGCAATAAGCGCGGTTGTAAGGACAAGTGTCCTAGACTCATATTTCTTTTTTCAGCTAAACCTCTTTTTTCGCTAGTCACGAATATGTAGATTGGATTTGGGAACGGCCCGATTGCATGTCTGCTATCGATTTACAAGAACAATTAAATTGCAACTTCGTAAAAGTATGTCGAAATGTTGCTCATCATTGAGAATACCATGTTTAATCTACATGCTTTTCTAAATGTGAACGAATGACATGCGACTTCGATCGAATATGTTGGATCGGGAAGAATCTACAATGTTCGTCTACTATTGTCGTATAAATTTTGTTCATTTAGTTTCGAAGGCACACGAGTTTTCTCTTGAACCATTTGCCCTCAATGGTATTTCGTACGTCTCGTCTGGCGATTTAAGGTAATGTTTTCTATAACAGTGTGCGCTACATCTGCCCAATGCAGCTATGACAGTTAACGGGTATACCGGATATACCGGGTATATCGATCGGTGGCACCAGCCATAGAAGGTGAAGAAGGCGAAGAAGGCAAAGAAGAAGAATATACCGGATCTTGATCTGTCAGTCTCGAGTCTTATTCGCGACTTATAAAATCGCTCATGCTAGATGTCCGTTTATTCAATTGGACCGATCATGTCATCCCTGCGACATATCAGCGCGGCGCGGTGCGGGTTACGAAGATTACAGAACGGGTTCGCGAAAGTTCGTCGAATGGATGACAGAAGCCGGACCCGGGCTGGCTGAAGAGTCGGTCGCGAGGAGGTTCTTTTGGTTCGCGTGTCCCAGAGCGCCTGGCCGACCAACCGAGAGCACCAGGAGACGAAGAAGAAGAAGAAGAAGAAGAAGAAGAAAGGAGCGGGAAAAGGAATCGAGAGGGTAGGGAGAGAATGGTGAAGAGGGGTCCTACCCGCTTCGCCTCTGGCCTCTCTCTCTCTTGATACACCTTTCTCCGGTTCCCCAACACCCGGCGGCGGGCCTTGGTTCCCCTTCAGTCCTCACCGGGACACAGACAAAGTTACGCACCCGGAGAAAGGTCAATCGGTCGGTCGCTCCGTCGCACGGAGCTCTCGTATTTCTTGCCCGGTGTAACGAGGTGTAATTTTTATTTTATTCGTACAATAATATATACATCAGTTTTGTTATTATCAATCGGTCGGTCGGTCGTTTCTTTTATTTCTCCTTAATCTATTTTTTTTTTACTCATTTATTACGTCACTTATTACGTCTTTCGGCGAGTATTCGAAGATCGCGGAAGTTGGTCGTAGGGTGTTTGCCGGAGACTGTTGCCTCGAGATCGCTTGGTGCCCACGTAATGGACAAGTCAGCATCGATACGATAGCGCGGGATTGGTTTACGTGAGAGAGTGCGGCGTCTTTCTCGTGACTTTGATCTAATTCAAAGTGCTTCGAGGGACCTCGAACAGATGGGCGACGACATGTGGAGGCTTTGGTTTACGAAATTGCTACTGCTAGCGACGCTTCTGCTGACAGTCACAGTCCAGACGCGATCCGAGGGTGAGTTTGACGTCACAGTAGGGGGATGTTGAGGATCGCGATATATCGCGAATAGAGAATGTGATAACGTAACAGGTGCGAGATGAAGCAAAACGAATGGGATTGGGATTTTTATCGATAATCTAAGGCTGTACGAAGTGATCGGTCGTTTTACACGCAACGAACAATATACATTGTGCATATAATAACTGTAATAATTACACACGTAATAATTATTACGTCGCGTGTCTTACGGGACTCGCCCAGCCTTCATTCCATCGATCTTAATTTATTCATTACAACAGTTGATGCGTTTGACTGACGATGGCCAGACGAGTGAATCTACTTTGCTGTTCGTAACACGGAAACGGCGCGTGCACGTGATAATTTCTTTTGTAACACCTGTTCTTCCGCGTTCACCACGAGATAATGCGGCGTTTTCCATTAACAGGACATCTACCCGTATACACGACTTGTGTAACGCTAGGCTCGGCAGAAACGAGCCGACGCGTGACTAGTTCTTCTTTTTTTCCTTGCAATTAAAAATGTGCACAATGTAATGAATGAAAAATTAAGAAGCGGAGATCTTCGGCGTCGATTTTATGAATGAAATGCACGAAGTAAAGAATCCGACGTTTTTTTTTCCTATCAAAATATACGTATAGATTAAAAGTTAATAAAAATTATAACAACCTTTTCCTAATAATCTTCTATCCTCGTAGAAATCTCTATAAAAAAAGATCTCTCGCCGCTGTAAAAATAAAAATTTAACGATTCGAGCGGTTCTTACATCGGGAACGTTATCGATGATGAATTTTAATTAACGTAAGATTACCGGTGCTTGCGCAAATTTATGGAAACACATTGAAGGCATCACTTACGCTTTATGTGTTATAAACCGCATAACGGTTTGCGCGGCTTATGGTGCTCAGTGGCGTGTACCTTATACAAGCATCCGCTCGCTCGATACCACGATCTAGTATCGGTGATCCAGACAAACCTACGTTTCTCCGGTTGTGCCCCCAAAAAGCGCCGTTATGGCGCGGCCATTTCAAAGCCTGATTTTCCGGTTATCATCAGATTTGAGTCGATGTTTTCTTTCATTTTCCTTATGTAACAAGCTGTTATTAAACGATTCCTCTCATTAGCAGCATATCATCGTACATTTGTATAATTAGAAATAATGTGATATCGGGTGAGATAGTAGATACCAATTTCACATCTATCTATGTTATTACAAATTGCCTGTACGTATTGCTTCTACAAATCAGAAAATGCAATGAAATTTAGTGGAGCATCTCGGATTAAAAGTCGCGCGCAAATGAGCGCCTGATTTTTTTATTAAATTCCACGATTCTGTAATTGATCAGCTTGATGCAACTCGAGTCAAATATCTTTGAATGAAATTAGCTTTATAAAATATTTTTGTCGATGATGCGAGCGTTGTTCGCGAGTTTTCGTCCACCTGGTTAGGCGGCGGTACGAACGAGCCGGGGACGATCGAGATCGGAATCGAGCGGACAGGGCGCCTTATCCTAAGCATTTTTATCGGCAGCGGTTGGCCTTGCGGACATTAGTTCTACGAGCGACTCTCACATTCACTCCTGCGAAATAGGAGAGATCGAGGGACGTCGTTGCCAAGGATCTCTCCTAACGAGTCTCTCGATGCTGATAGATCACGAGTCATTTGCTCTTGAATATGGAATACGATCTCGCGTAATAAATCCGCATGGAAAACTTTACGACTTAAATGACATGACAGAAAAGAAGAGAGAGAGAGAGAGAGAGAATGAAAGGGAAAGGAAGGGAGAGAAAAGGGAGAAAGATTACAAAATTTCTCGTCATAAGCCATGAGGAAGAGAAAATTTTATCTTGTCTTTGGTGCTAAATTCTAACGATCGAAATCCCGTATCTCGAGAACATTGTTGAGAGATTGTTATTATCGGTTTGCGTTAATTTATTATTGACAGTATCCAAGAGATTAAAATTTTTTTTGAGAGACTTTTATACATTTTGCACGTCAGGTAATTTCCTTGGGATAGCAAATTGTTTTTTTTCCAACGAGAGATTTCTCCCCGGAAAAC